GTGAAGACTACTCCCGTGATGAAGGTACTGCTCAGCCGCCTGCGTTACGAACCTAATGCTCAGAAATGGTGTCGAGCTCATACTGCACACCGTAAACCGCTGTCTTCAACATGTTTGCCATGGCCCTTGATTTTCTACAAACAAACAGCTTTTTTATGGCTAGGGATAGGGTTAATCAGACAATATCACGATTGATTTTACATCACTACATGTTCACTGCTCTCGAATCCATGAACTAGACTGACTGGATTCAGTACTCCTTTAACAAGAGAATCAACAAGAATTCTGTGATCAGCGTGATTTTTGAACATTATATTGACTCATTTTATTTTTTAAACTTGGATTAAAATGGCAAAATATTTACTGGATTGTCAGTTCAACACTGATGTGAAGCAAAGACCAGCTGACTGGACATGATCCCACTAATCATACGACTACTTCATAAATCAGTAAATGGACATGAGATATTGATTTTATTATGTGTAGGAAGAGAAAGTAGCACTGAGACAACGATCAATTATACAGTTCATTAGAGTCATTAGAGCACAGAATGACACAAGTGACCAATCAGAATCAAGTATTTCAGGCCCTTTCTGAACTACACACACAACATGACGAGATCATGCTTAAAATCGACACATGTGCAGTACGCTAATATGCCATTCTGAACACATCCGCTTCTGTCATTCACTCTGTCATCTTGATTCTGTCCTTCACTGTCACTCAGGATGAAGCTGAAAGCTTAGCGTAACTGTTAGCATTCAGATGTCAGATCGTGTTTAGTGTTTTTAGCTGATACTAAACTTCCGCTTTCTCCCTTCTGATCCCTTCCTCCGTATTTTCCTGTCACGCTTCCCTCTTCCCCTCCTCTTCCTCTCTCTCTCCTGTAGATCATATAGCTCACATCATAGAGCTTCTTGGCTGCATTCCTCGACAATTTGCTCTTTCTGGAAAATATTCCCGGGAATTCTTCAACCGGAGAGGTAGTGTTAAAGGCAGAGGGAGGACGGACGTGAGCACACACACACACACACACAGACTGCAGCTTTATGGCTTGGTGTTAGAGGGGTCATGAATTGCATTTTCACTTTTTTACATTGAGTTTTTTCACCAATTTTCAAAATATATGAAAATTATTATTTTTCATCCTCATTTTCACATTTCATTGGGCATCATCTCTATAAGAAACGACAGCAATCGTCAAAATGCCGGGCTCTGCTGTAGGTTTCAATACAATATATTGAGAAAAACCAGCCACATAATTAAGAAAAAAGACAAAAACATGCTTGTTCACTTGCTGTTAGAAGGATAAGCTCAGTTCTTAGAGGTGCGGCTTGTGCTGAGGCATGAAACTTGCAGCGTGTTTTTATTGTAGAATAACGTCTTATATGTGCAAATATCAAGGGCATTTTGATTTTCCATTTCATGACCTCTTTAATGACAGTCGGCCCTGCAGGTCTAATCTGAATCAGGCTGGTTTCACCCGGACATCAGACCTGTGTGTGTGTGTGTGAGCGTCCGTCCTCCTGCACCGCTGCATGAATAACTCATGTTGTATGTGTGTGTGTGTGTGTGTGTGTGTGTGTGTGTGTGTGTGTGTGTGTGTTCGGGGGACAGACCACATCG